GACGCCTCCTTGTACGTCTTTATGTGCAACGTGGTCATTTTCGCCGTATTTTCGTCGAAAAAAGCACTCTAGCGCCCAGAGGGCTCTACTTTAACGAGTTACCCCTTAGGAGACCATAAAAAAAATATTTTTTTCCTATTTTGTAGACCAACCCCTATTTCTTTGTTACCCCCTTTCACCCCCATAGGGATGGTTGCCAGGATTTGCACCAAACATTTCGTTGTCCAGGAGTGACCCCTAAGATACCCTGAAATTTTCAGACCTCTAGCTCATCTCCTTCCTCTTACACGGACGACAGACAGACGGACAGACAGACAGACAGACACGAGAGCGGTTGCATAAGCCCGCTTTAATGCTTTTATTTAAAAGCAGAAGGGCGGGCTAAAAAACCTAGCGCCTAAACGGTTAGAAATAGAGCCAAACAGATAAAATTTTGACCCTTTGGACCTCAGGCAACACACGTTAGAATACTTTTGCAAAATGGATATTTTCGATTGACCGACTGATGAAGAGATTTCGGCGATGACGAATCAAAAATTCGCGTCGTTCCTGAACGCCGCACCTTTCCACCATCTGCTACGACAGCTAGCAGCAGAATACAAGAATACCAGGTCGGAGAGGGGCGTCGAGCTCCTCGACATTGCTTACCACCAAGTCACCGATAGCTTGTTGCCCCATGTGCGATGGGCCTTATCGATCGCGGACATGTGGGCAGACAATTATTATGAATTCAGAGTGATTGACGAAGCATTCTTAAATTACCATGGTGTCAGACACGGACTCCATAATTTTATCCTGGAAGACCGTGTGAAAATATTTAATGAAGACAGAAATATGCCACAGGGTGAGATGAAAATGTTCTTAGACAAAGTAAAGATCAGTACCTTAGTGGAGATTGTGGTGCATTGTGCACCAAATCTCCCTCACCCACCTAAACCGTGGGTGAGGAGAGACTTTAGGATGTATAGGCGGTTCGTCGACCCCTTTTCGGAAGAAGTCTTTGAGTACACAGTTCAAATATTTGCTAAGACCAGTTCGGTGCCCGCTGATGGAAGTTCAAATGAGTGAATTATTATTATTATCATTATGTATACATGTATATATGTAGATAACCAATATGCTTCCATAATCTGTTTCGAATTTTGAATAACAATGATTATCATCACCTTAAGGTGCCCCCACAATGAGCGCGAGGCGATGCCAGGTAGGCGATGCCGTGCAGCCAGGCCTTGCTTGCAGGCCGTGCCGGCAGGTTTACCGACTTTTATGCGACAACAGTTTTAATTAGAAGATCGGAGGCGTAGCTCTGCGCAACCGGCATGGCCTGCAAGCACGGCCTGGCTGCACGGCATCGCCTACCCGGCATCGCCTCGCGCTCATTGTGGGGGCACCTTTACATCTTGCTTTGCATTGCTTTCATTACCTTGTGTGTGTGTGTGTGCGTGTGTGTGTGTGTGTGTGAGATTGTGTTTTAATACCAAAGGGGTGAAAAACCCCCGTAGCACCTAAACGGTTAGAGATAGAGCCAAACGGTTAAAATTTCGGCCCTTTGGGTCGTCTTTTCACATGGTACCCCTTAGGGACCCACCAAAATTAATCCAAGACCAACGACGTGTCCGAAGCAGACCCAAAAGACCACGATTTCGTACGTTTTGCATTATCTTCGAGCGTTTGTATCATAGAAGGTATTTTTCACAGACTAATATTCAAGATAAATCATTTATCCTTGTTTTAATACCATAGGGGTGAAAAACCCCCGTAGCGCCTAAACGGTTAGAGATAGACCCAAACGCATAAAATTTTGGCCCTTTAGATCGTCTTGTCACATGGTACATCTTAGGGACCCAGCAAAATTATTCCAAGACCAACGAGGTGTCCGGAGCAGACCCAAAAGACCACGATTTCGTACGTTTTGCTCTATTGTCAAGCGTTGAAGTTTATTATTTACTAAAGGAATTCTTCAGTAAATCTCCTTATGAGATCGTTGTTTGCTCTGGTTTTTAGATGATCACGTCGTGGACCTTTGAGGCATGTCGTGTTTTGATTAACCTGGACGTCACAGCGTCAATTAAGTTTGTGCACGATCATCAATGCAAACAAAAATTACTACAAAAAAATAAAGGTAAGCCCATTTCTGTGACTCATGTGTAATAATACCAATCCTTGTTCTGAAAATGTGGGTTGTCTAGGCCATGTTCTATCGACGGAGCAATTGTCAGCACCGCTAGGCAGTAATGTGTCATATCCTTGGGCTAATGTAAACTGCGCAGAGAGTGACAGGAGCCTTGTCATCACCAAAGAGTTACCACTGAATCGATTCGTTTCATCAACCTCCTCATTTGTTCCATTCACATGGACGTTTGAATTTTGTGACATTTTGGATAAGAGCTCGTCTATGTTTCACACTGCTCATCCAGAGTGTTGCGTGAACATGCTTCTGCATAAGGAGACATTAGTTTTGTCAGAGTTAGCGCTACGCGCACATGTTTTAGATGAGAATGAGGTGCCTAATGCGAAATTAATGCGAACATGCAGTATCTGCAGCCAACACATTCTGCGCAAAACACCGTGGATAGACAGCGTTTCAACATCAACTAAGGGTAAGCGCGATTTTTAATATTTAATGAGTACACCTCATCTTCATTAAGCTAATTTGCTCCCCGCTTTTCCAGAACTTTCATAGACAGCCGATTGTTCACCAGCGCTTGTTCTACCAAAATTTCGAGAAAGTGTAGCGTGGGCTCCAACGCTTATTCTACCAGAATTTACAGAGAGTGTAGCGTGGGATAAGTAATAAAAAAAATGAACTTACAGATATAAGAAGTTTATAACATTTATTTTGTCCTGTTTACAATTGCATTTGGCAAGCGCATATTGAAGACTTCCTGTTTGTTTTAATTATTGTTTGATTGATTGCTCTTGAGTACAGGCAGGGGGCGGGGGCGGGGGTGGACGACGTCGCGTCTGACGGATGGATACGAGCCCGGTGACGACGTAGAGGTGTCCAAGATTTTGCCGTGGCGGGTGGACTCCTGGGCGGACTCCTGGTAAGGGCTGCGGAACTGATACCTTTACAGAAA